AGAAAGTTTTACAGTACCACCAGAATGGGTGACTTTTCCATCATCAGTGGCTTTTCGGAGACACGAGGCAATTGCTCTTTATGCTGGAGCAAACGAGGTAAATGCTTCAGGAGTAAGTGACTTTGAAAGGCTTGACAAGATAACTGATGCCTCAAAAGCTGTGATATTTCGTAGTTGCTATGAAATTGAAGGTGAATATCTGAATGTATACCAGAAGCTAGTTGGGAAGCCAGTGATTCCCGTAGGTTTATTGCCTGTGGAGAGACCAGAGGCAGGAATCGTTGATGGTTCTTGGTGTAAGATATCTGAGTGGCTTGATAAGCAAGCATCCAAATCAGTTGTATTTGTTGGGTTTGGGAGTGAGTGCAAGCTGAGCAAGGATCAAGTTTTTGAGATAGCATTAGGACTTGAGGTGTCTGAATTGCCATTTTTATGGGCACTGAGAAAACCCAGTTGGGCAAACAATGATCATGATTCTCTACCTTCTGGTTTTAATGACAGGACATCTAAGAGAGGACTTGTTTGTATGGGATGGGTACCGCAACAGGAAATATTGGCACATCCATCTATTGGGGGATCTTTGTTTCATTCTGGCTGGGGTTCTGTAATTGAAACACTCCAGTTTGGCCACAGCCTTGTTGTATTACCCTTTGTTATCGGTCAACCTTTAGTTGCAAGGTTTTTGGTAGATAAGGGTCTGGCCATCGAAGTGAAAAGAAATGAAGATGGGTCATTCACCGGAAATGACATTGCCAAGTCCCTTAGACAAGCAATGGTGTTGGAGGAGGGAGAGAAGCTCAGAATAAAAACAAGAGAAGCTGCTGCAATTGTAGGAAATTTGAAGCTGCACCAGGATCACTACTTAGCAGCATTTGTCCAGTTTCTTAAGAATGAAACATGGAACCAGATACGAAGTTAGAGTTTGCAGAAGTATTTGAATAATCATTTATGTTAATGTATTAGTAGTGAATTGGCTTGTAGCGAGTGAGCTTTTCTACTAGTGTTTTTAAACATTGTATGGTTATATATTAATATAATGGTTATTAGCTCACTGACTTATTAAATCACATTTTATGTATCATACCTCACACTACGGTTGTCTGATGTAAGAAGCTAACTTGATAGAGCTATACAGCTGCTAATAGGGGAACCGAAAGATGTCAAACACTTGCCATGGTTTACAAATTGTTTAAAACTTCATTACTTCTAATTACTGACAACAAATTAGTAAAGTTTACGGCTTTTCGGGTAGGCAAAGAGGCCTCCCAAGTAATCGATTCTGGACCAGACAGTCTAAATACTTCATAGAGACTCTAGCATTGGAACAGTGACCAAAATGTCACTGTTCACTGATTTTTTTATCTAAATGTTACGCGAACAGTATTATTTTTCAATATGTCACGCGGACAAGTTCGCTACAATGCCCAGCAAACTTAGTTTGCTGACGTGCACGTTTCTAGTGGACAACAAATTCGTTACTCCCAGTAGCGGACTATGTTGCAATAAATGCTGACGCATTGGAGAAGTTCGCTGTCACATGCAGCGAATTAGGTGTGCCACGTGTCTGACATGCACCAAGTTCGCTGAAGATCCAAGCGAACTAAGTGCACGTGGCACAATCAGAATTAATGTATCAATCACAATAAAACACAAAAAATGAAGGAAAATGGCAATTTAATTAATGTGTCAATCAAAATTAATGTGCCAATTAACAATCACAATTAACGTGTCAACCACAATTAGCGTACAAATAGGATTAACTTTTGATTGTATCAATCACAATTAATGTACCAATCACCAATCACTTCGGAGGGCCATAACTTTTGATTCGGATATCCAAATCAGATATTTTTTATTTTATTTCATATAACTTTTTGAGATCTACCCAATGACACCTCATTTGACATATTTTATCTCTCACAAACATCGTTCGAATTTGTAACAATGATATCACAAACAATTAATGTACCGATCAAAATTAATTGCGATTGATACATTAATTATGATTGGTGATTAGTACATTAATTGTGATCAAAATTAATTGTGAATGGTGATTGATATATTAATTGTGATTGGTGATTGGTACATTAATTGTGATTAATACATTAATACAATTAATTGTCATTTTCCTTCTTTTTTTGTTTTTTTATTGTGATTGGAACATTAATTCTGATCGGGCAATGAGATTGTGCCACCTAGCACACCAAATTCGCTACCGCTGGTAGCGAACTTCGTTCAGTAAGCTTTTCCTGTAAAAGTGTGTCACGTGTCATGAAATCATTGGCTACCAAGTTCACTACCAGTCCTAGCGAACTTGGACACGTGACAATCAATTTTTCCTGCAAAAATGTGTCACGTGTAACGAAATCATTGGCTACCAAGTTCGCTGGGCACTGTAGCGAACTTGCCCGCGTGGTATATTGGAAAATAACATTGTTCGCGTGGAATTTAGATAAAAAAATCAGTGAACAGTGACATTTTGGTCATTGTTCCCTATAGCATTATTATACAGGATAAATGTCATTATTGCCAAAGGCAAATCATTATAAAAAAGATATGTTTTTATACAATTCATGGGGGCAATAATTGCTCCCTTGACTTCACCTAAGTGTCGTAGCAACACTTTAGCATTGATCCAGGATAAGAAGGAAGAATTGATACCCATTTGACATGAAACCAAAGAGATTGACAGGAACTTTTACAAGTGTTAGAATATCTACCAGATATCTTATGGTATTATGAATATAAAAAATGCCACTTCAAATCAAACTTCAACTAGCAAAAACAGGAAGAGGAGAATCCTTCTAGGTAGCTTTACCATTACATATTTTGTAAAGAGACTATTTACCCTTATAATATTATGAATCAACATCATTTTACAACAAATTATTTTACTTTAGTGTAAGTTATATTCTTAATTTTAATTGTTGATTCTATTTATCTAACAATTATGATTTATTATATATTTGAGCCGTTAGATTTAAGAAAATTAATGATCAAGATTTGATATAAGACTTCTTATTCGTACACCGGTGTAAGAATATATATAGGGTTAGGATCATTTTATACCAGTGTAAGTTACACTTTCAATTTTGGTTGTTGAATTTATTTATATCTAACAGTTATGATTTATTAAATATTTGAGTCGTTAGATTCAAAAAAATTAATAATCAAGATTTGGTGTAAGATTTTTTATTCATACACTGGTATAAGAATACATTGTCCCATATATATATATAGGGTAAGGATCATTTTACACCAGTGTAAGTTACACTCTTAATCTTGTCTGTTGATCTCATTTATATTTAAGGGCTCTAATTTTTTAGTAATGTGAGCCATTAGATATAAGTGGATCAATGGTCAAGATTGAGTGTAAGACTTCTAACTCTTACACCGGTGTAAGAATATCCTGCCCCATATATATATATATATATATATATATATATATATATATATATATATATATATATATAGGAAAATATCTGTTTACAAACTTTTTTTACAAATTACACTAAATATGACCAGTCATACACTCTTGATTTAAGTATGACCGGTCATACTTAGTGTAGTTTGTAAACAAAAAATTCATAAATATAACTTTCTCCATATATATATGGAATAGGATCAACTTACACAGGTGTAAAAATAATAAGTCTTACATCAAATCTTAACCGTTATTTCCGTGCATATATCGGTTGAGATTTATTGGGAATTAAAAATTAATTAATAAGTGAGACCTAATAAATCTTAACTGTTAGATGCAAAAAAATCAATGGGTAAGATTTGGTGTAAGACTTGTTATTCTTACACCGGTGTAAGATGATCCTGCCCTTATATATATATATATATATATATATATATATATATATATATATATATATATATATATACGGGTCAGGGTCATTTTACACCAGTGTAAGTTACACTTTTAATCTTATCCGTTGATTCCATTTATATCTAATGGCTCACATTACTAAGAGCTCTAATTTCTTAGTAATGTGAGCCATTAGATATAAGTGAATCAATGGTCAAGATTGAGTGTAAGACTTCTAACTCTTACACCGATGTAAGAATATCCTGCCCCTATATATATATATTAACAAAAAATCATTTCTGCAATTGCTGTATAATTTTTTGTCTAGCAGATATTATGTACTCCCAAAAGTATATAGAAAAACTAGTTTTTTTTTTTTAATCTATTCCCAGAAGTATATTAAAGTGGGACTCTTTTTTGTCTCGGACATTATTTTTCCGCCTATTGCAGAAAAGTAATACCCATATATGCAAAGTGCAAACCTCTCTTCAGATACTTGTTAATGTGTTGAAGCAAAGTGCAATATATGCAGCAGACCTGGGAAGATCCTTCACCAGAAAAAGAGGTAAATGGCTGAGAATACAATTCAGGCGGTGATGCTTCCATGGTCTGCCTTTGGCCACTTGAGACCATTTTTCAACTTTCAAAATAGCCTCGGCCAAAGATGAAACACAGAAGTGAGGATGAAGCTAAAAGAGAATGTAAACTAGGAGTTGGTTGTAACTAGGTACACTTAAGTTTGTGGTTGCACCAGTTTTTTTTCTTTTCAAAAAACACACACAAACTTCAAATTTGGTAACCCTGTTCATATTCTATTACCAGAGTCCCCAAATTGATCCAGAAGGGAGATTCATTCCAAATTCAACAAACAAATGTAAGCTCACGCTGGCATAACACATGAAGTGCTTTACCTCTGCCACAAACAAATATTATAAACAATAACCTTCTTTCAACAAAAGGTAAAAGACTAAATGAAAATTATACAAGAGAAGCATTATTATAATTAAAATCATGCTCTTGCACACAAGCAATCATCACCATAACGAGGGGGAAAGGATTGGGTTCTCGCCAGAGCACATACTCTCAAAAGTGTCAGATCAAAACATTCATATTAACACCAAGTCAACAGATATATAAACACTCGTTATTTTGCTCATAGGGTGTATGTGCATGTAAATCAATAATATACAAATAAATAGAAAACATTCATTATTTGTGTTGCCTAATCCTCTTGCTAAGAATCTGGAGAAATAGATACAGATGCACTTAGCATGAAAATGAGCCTATAAACCACAAGATATTAATATTAACATTAAATAGTAAGTAAGTCTGCTTGGTGTTGGAAAGTAGCATCATCATCATCATGAAATAAAACTAAACTGACTAATGACGTGTGAAGTATAGAGCATACCTTTGGGAGAGGTTTAAAGTCTTAATCCTGGACCCTCCCTAATCGGATTAGTTGCGAAGCAATGAACCGATTGAAATATTTCCAAAAAAAAAACTGACTAATGACGTGTGAAGTATAGAGCATACCAAAAATGCTTCAATTTTTAATGTTACTAATAGGACTAGCACCAACCAGATCAAGCTGTTTTACTTTTCCATAAGCCTTTCAAATAACCCTCTTTCAGAAAAGCCTCAACAATATGTTTCCCAGTTTGGTTTCTTCTTCAATCACAGCAACTGCAGCAGAGGCTCAAAAGCAGGACATACCAATACGAAAAACAAGTTCTTGTTCCTGATGGGGAACTTCAACTAGATGAAGTTCAAGGGCTGGTAATTCCGAATGAGCACAAAACCGGTCCCATGATGTTGGCGTCACACCCAGAAACCTTCTCTTCGGATTTTAAGGAAGCAAGAAAGTATATATAAATAAAAAAATACGGTAACGGAAGGAAGGGAAAATTAATAGATAAGAATTTTCAGTCTTTTCCCCTTTGTTCTCGTGTGAACAAAATTTATCCCTTGATATAGTACATAGCAAAAATTAAGAATTTTGTACCACTTGCTTTTGCTTTTAGCCAAATATTTCAACTATTTTACGAAGCAAACAAAATTACAAGGTTTTTTTTTTATATACTGTCACTTATTTTGTAGTAAATAGCAAATTAAACGGATGATAGGTCAGTTTATGAAAATTCACTTCCCAATGTCCTTGAAAAGAAGGGAATTTTGGAAGAATTTGGGAAAACTGAGGTGATATGAGAAATTAAGAGTCAAAAAAAGAATTAATTTGGTATAAAAGCTGCTGGGAAGATCATGTGACAGAAAAAGAGGAAAATGGCTGGAAATACAATTCATGTGGTGATGGTGCCATGGTCTGGCCTTTGTCCACTTGATGCCATTTTTCCAGTTATCCATAGCTTTGGCCAAAGCTGGTGTTCATGTCTTGTAAAGAACCTTGGGATACATCATTCTAAAAGCTAGCTTAAAGGGTGGGAGTGCCCAAAGCCTTATAAATGTCATATTAGTTGACCATCCAATCAATGTGGGACTATATATCTCAACACTAATAAGAACCTTGAGGTCACCACCCCAAAAGCTAGCTCAAGGGGTGTGAGTGTTCAAGGCCTTATAAAGGCCATATTAGTTGCTCATCCAATCAATGTGGGACTATATATCTCAACACGCCCCCTCACGCAAAAGCCCTTTACGCTATAAGCGCCCTTTACGCTAGAAGCGTGAAAATTGCACAGGCCCATTTTTTGTTTATCTTTTTGTGTTTTTTTTTTTATTTTAATTCCACTTTTTAAAGCGGGAAACGGTGAGACTCTGATACCATAATAAGAACCTTGAGGTCACCACCCCAAAAGTTAGCTCAAGGGGTGTGAGTGCTCAAGGCCTTATAAAGGCCATATTAGTTGTCCATCCAATCAATGTGAGACTATATATCTCAACATGTCTCCTTCATGTACAGGATAAATGTCATTATTGCCAAAGGCAAATAATCATTAAAAAAATGTGCTTTAATACAATTCAGTGGGGGCAATAACTGCTCCCTCGACCCCTTGACTTCATCTAAGTCTCGTACCAACACTATAGCATTCCAGGATAAGAAGGAAGAATTGATACCCGTTTGACATGAAACCAAAAAAGATTGACAGGAACTTTAACAAGTGTTACAATATCTAGTAGATATCTTATAATATTATGAATACAAAAAAATTTCTTCCCGTTAAACCTCAACTAGGGAGAGTGGAATAGGACAATCCTTGTATGCATTTGTAGCTTTATCTTTGCATATTTTGCAATGAGACTATTTTCCCTTATAATATTATGAATATATCATAAAATAATTAAAAATATCTTAGATGATTTCTTAGGAATAGTTTTCTATTTTCTTATATTTCATGATTTTATTTTCGGGTCCCCTATTTAAGTATGAATAAGGCATTTTCTACTATCATTTTCATTTTAGGCGAGATCTATTATTACTTGGTCCTAGAAGTTTCCATATGATACTAAGAACCAATTTTCATGAAGTCAGTTTGAGACACAAATCCACGGGTCAATTTTCTTGTTCCAATTAAAGGCAGACCATTGGCACTGGATCTAGGAAACAAGCGAATATTTACTGCCGAGGGTCACAGCTTGTTTGGCACATTAAGTTTCCAAAAATCGAAACATTGCAATGGTTATATATTATTAACAAGGAAATGATCCGTTTATAAAAAAATTTTATAAATTTTTATAAATTACACTATATACTCTTGGAAGTACATAATAAATATAACCCTCCTTTTATTAGTATACTGGTTATTAGCTTACTGACTGATTAAAACACATTTTATATATTTTGCTGACTCTGCATTGTAAGTTTTAGTTCATTTCATGCTTCACGCTCCGGTTATCCGGTCTACGAAGCTTACTTGATAGAGCTACAGAGCTGATAATGGACGAACCCAAAGATGTCAAACAATTGCCCTGCTTTGCGAGTAGATACTCGATATACTATAGGAATAGATACTCTTCTATTAAAAGTGAAGAACCTAAAGTTGGTGGTATCAGGGTAACGAATCCAACCAACAGTAGTTTGTTGAAAGCGACCTACAACTCGAAAGCGAAGATGGCCCATTTCCTAGAAATGACATTGCCAAATCCCTTGGACAAGCAATGGCCAATGGTGTTGGAAGAAGGAAAAAAAAGCTCTGGATAAACAAGAGAAATAATTTCAATGGGTGAGTTCATTATTTTGTTGGAGAAATAATTTCAGATCTGAAAAGAATTAAGAATGCATATTGAAATATAAATAAATAACATTTTCATCATATATTGGACAATCATTAGGTCTAGTGTTCAAATTCAAAATGTGACTGACTGTTCAATTTTATTTACATTATTAAAAGTGATAGTTTCATATTAATAAAATAACCAAGTTTTCTTAATTCAGAAAAAATAAATTAGGAACTTCCTAAATGGATGATGCCTTATAATTCACTCAATGTAAAACTTTTTATATTGTTGGTAATTAAAAATTAAAATCTAAGCCAAACGACCCAACCAACTAGTATTACTTACAAAACTGCTTTGGTTGAGAACTATGATAAATCAATATACCTGAAGACCTTGTACTAGTAAAACTAAAGCTTACCATGTCTAGAAATCACATCACGTCTTCCAAATTTGTCATCACGCGGACCATGTCACTTAGTAGAGGTGTCTTGCCATGTGCTGCCTAACGCAATGCCATGATTCTTAATGATGTGAACTGCCTGTAGGAGAATTTCTTGTTCTGCAGAGTATAACTCATCTTTGCGCTGTAAGAAAGGGAAATATCAGATAAGCATGACGGATAAAAAGATGCAGTCAAATATGGGGGAATTTAAGCATGTAATGTAAGATGCATCACAGTAACAAAACATTGCCTAAAACAGCACAAGATAACAAAGAAATAAAGATAGAAAGCAGGAAACTGAATCATTGTTTGAAAAACATCAAAACTTTCAATATAAACAAGAACTAAGAGATAAGGGTATATTTCAACAGCCTCAACCACAATACGTTGAAGTACAATATATTACTACATTTCTTGAAGTGGGCAGCAGCTTGGACATTTTTACGAAAAGAACCTTACCAAGTTAACATGGCAACCTTACACAAAAAGTTACTTACATATTATGATTAGAGAAAAATTATATTTTCCATTTCTTATGCTTTATATCCTTAGTTGAGCTGCGCTCAGTTTTATGGTCCATATGTGCACACAAGTGTTATTACATAGCTTTAAGTATATAATTGGCTCACTTGCTATCAACTTCGGGGCAATTGTTAGACGTTTTGTTAAGTTATTCCAAGGAATCCCAAGGAGGGAATTAATTATTCGACATTTGGTTCAAGCTTTCAAAAAAATTCCCAGGAAAATGATATGCCCACGTTCTGGTTCATTTTCATTCCCATGAGAGGTTGTGTAGCTACTATTCCCATGAAGGAAGCATCAATCCTATTGTACAGAAATACAAAAATAACCACCCGTGAATCTCTAACTCCCACGTTCCACTTGCCAATCCCTCTTCCTTCCCCCCAAAACCCCCAACTCTCTCTCCCCTCCATACTACCATTTTGTTAAGTTAGTCCATTTTATTCCATGCAGTTATCTTTATAGGCTATCTAACAACTTGGCTTACACCATCTCCTTCATCACTTCTTTAGAATAAAATGGGCAATTGTCTTACACTTTGTAAACAAAGTTCGGGATCTTGCATAGCAGTTGCTATGGCAACGCAAGGAAAAGTTGTGAGGGTAGCCGAACCTGATGGTAAGATACTAGAGTTTAGCTCCCCAATCCAGGTAATGGACATCTTGACAAATATTCCTGCTCATGGTATTGGTGTTTCGAAGAAGGCCGCAAAGCCTCTCTCCCCAGATCATGTATTGAAGACATGAAGGTTATTGTAATGCTTTGTATCAAATTCATAATTGCTACAAATTAATACTATAAAATAAATTCTTGTTTTTAAGTATGATTATAATCATCTTGCTTTTTTTTTCTTTTTTTTATCAATTAGATTTAAAGAATAAAATTTAAATAATTATTTATATATTATGGGCATTTTGAGAATTGTCACATATATTCCTAGGAATATGCAATGTAAACCAAACAAACTTTTTTAAGTTGTTCCCAGGAATTTTAAATGCTAACCAAACAGATTTTTCTAAATACCCAAGAATAGCATTCCTGATCATAGTATCCCTAAGAATGTGATTCGAAGGAATTTAGACACCTTGAAACAAATGCCCTCTTAAGCATTCAGGACAAATTTATAATCAGTAATCCAGTAGGAATCAGAACTAATTTGCATACACTTCATCTCAGATCAAGTGAATAAAACATCAGCTATTCAATTTCAAAACTAAATTTTTGACCTGAGATTCCCTTATCTCTATTTTGCAACCTATCAGAAAATCAAATGATATGAGACTCCTTGGGCAGTTGGCCATGCCACTAGTTCTACTACAAGATGCTATATTTCTATTAGATATTTAATCTATTATCTAACTATTGGTGATTGCAATTTAGGCACAGTATCTTTTGCATAGTCCCTTGATCAGTCAAAAGAAAAGGTAACTTCAAGATAATTATAACATCTCCGTATTGTATTTCCTAGCTAGCACACACAGCAGGCAATGGGTTTGTGTTTCATTATGCTTATATGTCAATTTCTCATAATTAAAGAATAATTCTTCAAAGGGTTTTGTATTGGTTATGTTACAGGAATGCACAGTGCATTTCCTGCACAAACAAAAAAAGTGTGGGCCCGCAAATTTTTATTTCTCTCTCCTCATCTCACTTTCTCTCTCTTCTTTTCTGTTTGTGCAGAAAATGCAGTGTGCATTCCTGTAACATAACCGATATAAAACTCTTTTTCAAAATGCCTTTCACAAACAAAAAGGATTCACTGTGTATGTAACAAGCATAATAGGATAAATTCAGAGATTCAGATGAGTGAGGTACCATGTGTTTGAGGTTATATCCAAGAGTCAATTCTGCATATGAACTTTCTATACGCGACAAGAAACAGTAGGGAATGTCTTTTCCTAAGAAAACTTTTGCATTTGATCTTAGCATGCTTTTTACATCATCCGATATCTGGGGAATCTTACTTAAATCCACAATTTGCAGAGGAATTTTGGTAATAATGGCTAGATATTCAGCACGGGACTTGTTCACTATAACCTACAAATGGGAAAGAGGGTTGTAATTATGATAACTGAAGCAGCAAGTAGATATAATCTCAAGATCAAAAGCTTAAGAAAGAAACATTTTAATAGAGATAAAGGCAATAGATTTTGCATCAGTTTGTGTGCATGCAGATTTGTAGATTGAGGTTCAAAATTCACATATCCTCTGGAGGAGAAGTTTCCTAGCAGATATGTTCGAGCTCAAAAAAGAAAGGGAATTATAAAAATTTAAATATAGGAGCAATCAAGAAAGTTAATCAGCGATCTTAGCCTCATTTTAAACTGATGAAATGAATGTTTAGATAAACCTAAAGACAACATCCAACAGAATCTAACCATGAAGGAGCACAATGCATTAGCAAATTATTTCAGCAAGAGAATAAAAAACCACTTTCCATAAAATCCCAACTTGCGACGGTAGGAGTGAGAGAAATCCTTATATGCGGCCTTACCCTTATATTTTTTTTAAGAAGTTATTTCTTGGATTTAGACATGTGACGTTATGGTCACAAAAGAGCAGTTTTACCACTGCTCCACCATTAGAGCAAGAGAATAATGAAATTCAAAAAAATCTTAACTGTTTCCAACATTTTTGCCTCTTCATGATAAGTAACAAATATATGTTCTGAAATACAAGCACATGCCAGAACTTGTTTCTTCCCTGATGTATTCATATTTATCTTCTTCCTTGCTGACAAATTCATTAAAGGAAAAATACTTCTGTTTTTGCTACAAAAAAAAAATTGCCACACATAGATAAAAGTGGATGGTCCCATTAACGTTTTCTCCCTCTTCTTTTTGTAATGGAACCCACTCACTTTTATGTGAGTGTGGCAGAAAAATATTTTTGTAGCAAAAGCAGAAATGTTAAACCCATTAATTAATTGGCAACCTTGTGTTGTAAAGCTACCACTATGTGCAGAATCCAGGGAAGGATCAAGACATAAAAAACACCAAGGAGATAAAAGATCAATGCAATCTACATAATATGATGATGAATGACAGAATTATACATAAATTTAAGCAACAAGAAGCCTGCTCAAATTGTTGCTGGGAAAATCAAACAACAGAACTATAACTTAATGAGTCATTGGAGAAAAGAGAACACTCTTGGTTGAAATACTAGATTCAACTATGAGCAACAGATATGTAGTGAGCATTTCCCAACAAGTTGTATATCTTTGTATGATATATTTGTGCCAAAGATCAACAAGATTGATTTGCAATGTTTAAGCATTCAGAACAGATTTCGGTCTCTAAAAGTCACTGCATAAATTCAGTTGGAGATAGAAAAAAAACAATAAAGTATGTTCCACTAATTTTAAATTTTGGGACTCATTTCTCTGCATTGCTGACGTGATTGCAGGGGAAGTGATCCTGTTCAGAAACACCAGAAAAAGTAGGGGAAAGGAAGGCCCACCTGGCTAGAAAAAAATGAGTTTGGCACAATGACTGGGAACTTCTCAGAACTCAGCAATGACGTGGTAGTAAGACCCATCTCCACCACTTGACCTTCTATCGAACCAGCCTGTAATTTGTACAATTTCTCAAACATTTAACAAATGTAGAATGTAAAATGTAAACAAGGGTAGACCTACTAAAGCATGGAACCCTCCACAATTTCCAATTTTTGTAACATTCTCTTTGCATTTCACTAATAAACTCACAATATACATGTTAGGACCCTCCAATTTTTATTTATTTTTTTTGTAAAAACCTTACCTAATTTTGTTTTATTTTGGCCCTTCCAATCTTTTTACCCTAATTCTTCCCCTGGATGTACATACAACATCTATATAGGCACTACATACTGCACAATACATACTGGACAATTGGAACAAAGCACCAGGAATGACTATAATATTATTCTTACCAAATTTGCAAGTGAAAAAGAATAATTGCCATTCCTCACCTTAAAAAACATAACTGCAAATAGGGCATTCAAGTGCAAAACAGATAGCTAGACCATGGTTCAGAAAATAACTTTTCCCATAAAAAGTAAAACAGGACCAATCATTAATTTACACCTACTAAATCAGCATACTTTTATTGTATCTCCAATTGAAAAGGGCTTCGAAAACTGCATAGATAAACCACTGAACACATTGCCAAGAATGTCTTTAGCAGCGAAAGCAGTAGCCACTCCTGCATAAAGATAGAAAGAGAGAACCATTAAATCATCCATTCCTTATTCTAGTGGTAGAAAAAGAATAAATAAATAAATGAGTAAAACTCTTTAGGCAATGAAAGCAACCTAATAAAAAATTTAACAAATGGATAAAGAAAACTCATAGATATATTAACATGTTTTGATATAAGGCTCGCAAGCTTGATCAACAGGAAATGATCCAGGATATCTGATGTTTTCACTAAATGGAACACAAGAAATTACAGTGTGTACTCTATTCCTTTCTTTTTCATACTATTGATATTATACATTGCTTTTACATCTCCAAAACTACCCATCTTTTTAGAGATTAAGGCTTTTGTACTTCCAAGTTATACAATATTTCCTCTCACTTCGAGTTATACAATATTTCCTCTTTAACATAATGTGGAGCTTGCCGCACTAGTTATCAATTTCTACAGTGCCTAAAGCATCAACTTTTAACCAGATTGATATTAAGATATACGTGGATAGAACTTTTCTTCCCAAAAACCAACAATTCTCAATAAGAGTTTTCCTGACTCCATCAACATTATAGAAAACCAAAGATGTAGCAAAAGGAGAGATACTAAAAATTTTAGAATACAAAATTAAACTGAACATATTCAATTAAATTTAACAATTACCTCCTATTCCACCAACAGTTATAATAGATTGCACAGCCACACCACAAGCCTCAGCCAAAGCCATTATACCAATCACAAACAGGCCAATAGATGAGATTTTGTCTAGAGCCAGCAATTTCTCCCTATCAAGCCCAGGTAAACTTTGACTGGACAATGTCCGTTCAAAAACATTTGTTTTCCATCTATGCAAAAACCATACAAATGAAAGTATCACTGCACCCCTCCAAGCTGGTGCAAGATACTGTGCAGCTATAGTTGTTGGAGCTACCATTACACCACTGGAAATCAAAGTCAACTGTCATCCAAAAGCAATTAAAAAAAAAAAGAACTGAGAATATCCCTAAATTTGTAAATAATCCACTAACATTTGCGAGAATGCCATGAAGGTAACTAAATATCGCACTGGATCTTCCATAGCACCCCAAAAGCTTTTCTCATAAGGAACTGTCTCCCCAGACATACTTCCAGGAAATAGAGAAACAGGACCCCGCATTGCATATTTGTGAAATTTTCTCAAAACCCTAGGCATCAATAACCAAGCTATCAGAGTAGCAGTTAAAGTACCACCAACTGGAATAACCACCTTGTTAAGGTATGGATGTGAATCAAGCAACTGCTGAGCATATGGAGTCAGATCATCAGAAGCTTCTTTAACCTTTTGCCCAGCATACGATGCTGTCTCTACCGCATTCTTCCAAGTATCCTGAATCTTCTCAGCCCAATCACCAGTAACAACAGAATCACCACTGGCATTCATGTCACCTGAACCAGAACCAGCAGCAGCAACTTCTGTACCACCATCACTGCTTCCTTTGCCACCCACGGATGATGAATATGTTCGGCTACTCAACACGTTGGTCATGGAGGCAAAAGGAAGAGTACTCCGGAAGCAAAAGCTAGAGAATCTAGGATACAGTGAGTCATTGGTTTTGGGAACAAACAGGTGACTACTAACAAGTGATTCAGAAGCCAAATTACTAAACCGATTTTGAGAAATTTTAGCTAATTCGGTGTTCAAGGAACTATTGATTGAACTCCGTATGCGTCTTAAAGAGGAAAACCTAACAGCAGCCATTTGAAAAAGATTTCAAGTAACGCCTCGATCTGCAAATTCCAGAACACAAACCACAATTTAATCACATCACCCCGTGCATACTTCGATTAAATTAAAAATGAAAATGAAAAAGAAACTCAGAATAATTGAATCAGTTGATAAACCCTAGAATGATGTGACAAGTTCAGACAAGATGATATGGTCTCTTACTTTCCTAGTTTCCTTTCCTTCCGCGTTGAATCATTTTCGTGAGTTTTGTAAGGAACCAAATTGAAACGAAACCGCTAGAAAAAGAACAAGTATAGATGTAAAAAGCCCTGCCTTGATAGGATTTGTAAATGATCAACGGCCTATTACGAGCTTACCGACCTACCTAACCCCTCAGTAGATTTAAAAAATTTGAAGATAAAAAAGCTTATAAATTTTAAAAAAAAAAAAAATTGATATTTGAGACACTTTAAAGACATTTTTTATTATCAAGATTTTGTAGGATTGAATTTTAATATAATTTATAAGATTTGTAAGGACAATATGAATTTATAAGATTTTAAAAAAATATATAAATTTTTAACAAACATTCAAAATTACAAGAGTCAATAAAAAAATTGCAATAATATCAATAAAATAAAAATAAAATCTAATATAATTTTCTCAATTAATAAAACATAATATAATTTTTAACAAACATTCAAAATTACTTAACAACAGCTCTCTACATATCTAAAGCTATACTAGTCCTCTACGCATTAGCATTTTCTTCTTATCACTCTTGGGTTTGACCAATGAGTTAAAAATTATCTCCTTCATTTGGTATCAGAGCTATGCACATATGATTATAAGACCAAATTTTTTTATTAAAAAATTCTAAATTTGCACATAGAACCTAAAGTTTATAATAAAATTTCGTTTGAAATTTTTTGCAATTAAAAATCTTGGGGTTTTGTTCTAAGATGAGAGTTTTCTAACCAGATATCGTATGCATGTTTTCATTGATTATTGTAAGAAAATTTCTAATTTAAATTTATGTGTTCTATTACATGAAAGTTTAGAAAATTTCTCAAAATTATTTTCAATTGATACTTGAAACCTTAAATTGCTTTGGGCCTTTTGAAAAACAAATTTTTAGTTATCTATTGACACAAAAATTGTTTGATATAGTTTCCTATAGTGAAGAAATTTAGTTCATAAATGTATTGTTGCGAAATATAGGGTTCATATTACGAAAGTTTCAATCTTTCTTTACATTGATATAGTTTCATTTATGTAAAATGAAAAATTGGTTTGACGGTTTTTTTTTTTTTTGGTGAAAGGTTTGACGGTTTTAGTTATCCTATTGTTTTCCTACTATTTTATGTTGTTTTTAATATAAAAATCACACCTTTTTTTTACCAAGAAAAATTGCGACCCATAGCTTGAAAAAATATTTTAAACTTCCAAAAACTCTCAAAAATCTATTGTTTTGAGATGAATTATATTAGAATATTGTTGATCTGTTGTTTCTAGGTTATTTTGTGATAAAAATTGTCCAAAAATCTACTCATTTTGAGCTTTGACGAATCTCCTTGACGAAACCCAATTTTGAGTTATTCAACCCGTCAAAGGAAGAAAAAGATACTGCAATACAGAAATCTCAAGAAATTCTTGAGGTTAGGGTGAGATTGTGAAAGGGACATCCTATTTATATTTCTCACTAAAAAGTCTCATGAATTCAACACAAATAGAAAATTCATTAAAATTGTTAGATTTTTAAATGCCACAAGATTATTTTTCTTTTGTTTAAAATCCTAATTGAATATCAATGGATTTGGACGGACTCTAAAAATAATCTTTGAAAATCTTAATCGAATATCACGTGACTTTTGTTCAATCATTTGAAACCCTAATTGAATACCAATGTATTTTTTTGTCTATAAATAATCAATTAAAATCTTTTGAAATCTCAATCCAATGCATCACCCAAAGGGGGTGTATTGGATTGGGATTTAAAAAAAAATTGAGATAACTTTTTTTTTATAGATTTTAAAAACTATTTAGAATTGGAAGAACTTTAAAGACTTTTTTACTATTAAGATTTTATAAAATTAGATTTTAAAGGATTTTAATAGAATTTATAAGATTTGAAAGGATTATATGAATTTATAAGTTTTTAAAAAACTATATTAAATTTTAACAAACATTCAAAATTACAAGAGTCAATAAAAATAATAATAAATAAATGCAGTGATATTAATAAAAAAAGTTAAATCTAATATAATTTTTAACAAACATTCAAAATTACTAAGCAACAGCTCTCCACATATCTAAAATTATACTAGTCCTACATACATTAGCATTTTCTCGTTCCTGCTCTTGGGTTTGACTAATAGGTTGAAAATTCTCTTCTTCATTTGGTATTAGAATTATGCATATATGATTGTAAGACCCAGTTTTTTATTTATTAAATTAATTCTAAATTTGAATATATAACCTAAAATTCATGATAAAATTTTGTTTGGAATTTTTTGCGATTGATCTTGAAAACTTTGGAGTTTTTGTTCTACGTGATGAGAGTTTTCTAACCATATGTCATATGCATGTTTTCATTGAGTATTCTAAGAAAATTTAGAATCTGAATTTCTAGGTTTTATTACCTGAAAGTTAAAAAATTTCTCAAATTATTTTCAGTTGATACATTGAAACCTTAAAGTGCTTTGTGATTTTTGAAAAAACAAGTTTTTTGTTATCTATTAACACAAAAATTGTTTGAAATCGATACATGGAAATAGGATTAGTTCATATGTTACTTGTATATAAATATTTTTTAATTCATTCTTCGTTAGCATAATTATGGCATTCATTGAATAATGATGTTATATTTTCATTTTAAAATTGGTATTTAATTTAAAATTTATATAAAATTATTAAAAGCTTATTTAATTGATAAATATATCTTATCCTTTTAAATAAAATTAAGTTAATGAGTTTTATTTTTAAATTATTTTAATATCTCTTTATTACGTGAATAAAAATATGATTTCTATGATAATGTATATAATATTAAGGAAAAATTGTGTATCATTTTAAAGTATGTAAAATTGTGTCATTTTCAATAAGAGAAATAGATAGATAAAGAAGGAGAGAGTGGACAAAAAGATATAAAGGTGTGGGTCCCACCTCTTTTGAGAGTAAAAGAATATAAGTTGTGTCATTTAAAAGGAGAAACATTTTTCTCAAATTTAATGGTAAGTGAAATCAATTTATTAACATTATCCAGTGTAATGTACGAGTGATATTTTAGTAGTTATAATTTTTAAGTACATTTTATTTATAATTATACAAAAATATTTCTTTGTTTAATTATTATTTTGGATATATTATTATTTATTTTTTAAATTACAATTTTTTTATATAAATTAAGAAAATGTTAATATCAATTTATATTTTACATATAAGGATAAAAGAAGTAATTTTTCAATAATGATTTCTTTTGGGGGAGGGGCTGTCGTCTGTTTTTTTCTCGTTCTCTCAAATGAAAAGATATACAATTATATAAAGGACTATAAAAAAATTATTCTGATATTAAATTATATAAATTTCAATATAAATTATAGAAAATTATTCGTATATTAAATTATTTTAATATGATTATCGTTAATAAGACAAATGAGTCGAATATACTCTTATAAAAAGTTCTAATTATAAAAATTATTTTGAATAAAATAAGTAAAAGTTACGAGCTTTTATAATAAATGTAGACAAGCTATCTACATTTACTTCAAAAATGACATCATTATGTGTTGAACAATTATAAAATTATAATGAGAAAGACTATTATAACCCTGAAATAAATTATTTGTAAAAATACTTTGATTTTCATCCAAAACGACTTCATCTTAGATTTATGTAGATAACTTATCTATGTAGATAACTTATCTATATTAACAGTAGAAAAAAGAAAACCCTTTTTAAAAATGTACATCAACTTTTTCTGAGTTTTTAATTTTTTTCAATTATATCTTTATTCTAAAATTATATATATAAATTTTACTCTGTATTTCAACGATAAATTATTTTAAAAGTCTCTGTCTTTTCTTTTTTCATTATATTTGTGTTTATCTAAATAATAAAGATTTATAGTGCCGTTTAATTTTAATTAGAAACAAAACAAAAAAAAATATTTTATCAAATAATTTACACGAATTTTAAAATATATTTTAAGTTAAATTTTTTATATAATCATACAAACTTTTAGTTTTATTTTTTAAATTCTTATTTTTAATTTTAGCTTAAAAGTATTTTTTTAAGTCTAGTTTTTTATTTTTTTTGGTAAGCTTTTTAAGTCTAGTTTTTAACTTAAAAAGAAGATACTCAAATAGACTCTTTACCTATAATAATTTTTCAGTATTAATGAGTGCTTTAAAATATAAAATGAACTTCCATTTGCTCGGTGTACTAACTTCATAATGATCATATTCGAGTACTTTTGTAACTAATTCTTACATCCACTAAGCAAAACTCGAGGATTACTTTGTCCTCATTAATGATTAAACTGGTAAGTGGAGTTGATCATGCCATTAAATATTATTTATATTCTAAAATAGCATTTCAACAAATGAAATTTAAAACCATCACTAAAGTTGGAGACCACCAACCACAAACTCACAATCAATAATTAAATCCGGTTTAATTTACACAAGCAATTTTTTATGTCTTGCATGCAATCACACAATATGCAAGACATAAAAAAATTGCAATAAAAATAAACACGAGCCCAAAATTGCAGTAAAAAGTTACATAAATAGAAATTAAATCCGGTTTAATTTACACAAAATTAAACCAAACAAATCAATCTAATAATTGATATCAAATTACCAAAAAGTATGATAATAATATATAATAAAAAAATTGTCAATAATTATTTATAGTATTGCATTAAAATTTTAATTTTCAAGAATCAGAAAAAATTTCTAAATTCATAATCACAATATAAGATTAACAACACAAACCTTCAACACATTGCTAATTTAATTTAAAGCAATGCACTCTTAAATTTAATCACAAAAATTATAATAATTGTTCAATAATAAGAGATGAGAGGAATATAGAATAAATTTGTATATTTGAATTGATTCAGGAGAATACAATATATAAAGAAAGAAAATAATATTTATCCTTTTAAATGATATAATTTTGTATCATTTTAAATCTTAACCGTTGATTTTCGTCAATTAATGGTTAGGATTTATTGGATTTTATTGCGACTTAATAATTAATTAATAAATTTGACCTAATAAATCTTAACTATTGATTGACAAAAATCAACGATTAGAATCTAAAATGGCACAAAATTATATTCTTAAAAAGGACAAAGGTTTTT